ATAGTATTCAATATATTAATATAGTATATTAAATCAATGTACTTCTTAATGTGCATTAACATCTGTTCTATTTATTTACCTGTTAATTCTTTTGTTAATACTTACCTGTCTTAATTATTATGGTTATATAAAAATTGCATTTTCTGTTGTGTTCTAATATCTCTTAAGGCACGGCCCCTCTATCTTTTTATTTTTCCACATTTTCTTACCCTTCTCGCCTGGTTTTTGTTTCTGTGGAATTTTAATCTTTTACTAGTTGTAAATCCACTGTGCTCCATAACAGCTAAAGCAATCTTCCCTTACACAGTTGAATAAATCTCTGACACTTCTGCAATTCTCTGACACTGGCAACTGCACTGCTGTCTTGGCAACTGCTCTCTCCTTCCAGCTCTGCACTTGACTTGTTGAGATTTCATTCCATGAGTGCATTTCAACATGGCCATTTCCCATCCACACTTCTGGCCCATACTTTTGGGAATGTCAGCCCCCAAATAATGTAGAAGCAGATTATGATGGGAATAAAACCCTAAAACTCAGTGGAGTGGAGACGCGTGTTATCTTGCTTAGAAATAAAGACTCAATTCAAAGTATAGGAAAATTACATTAGAAAATTCCTTAAGTTAGTGAAAACATAGAAACGACCTAAGTGTCCATCAAAAGATGAGTGGATAAAGCAGATGTGTGACACACACACACACACACACACACACACACACACACACACAGTGGAATATTACTCAGCCATAAAAAAGGATGAAATCTTGCCACTTGTGACAACATGGTTGGGTCTAGAGGGTATTACACTAAGTGAAGTAAGTCAGACAGAGAAAGACAAGTACCATATGGTTTCACTTATATGTGGAATCTAAAAAACAAAACGAATCAACAAACAAAAACAAAGCAGAAACAGACATAGATAAAGAGAACAAACTGGTGGTTGCCAGAGGTTGGGGTGGAGGTTGGATGAAATAGGTGAAAGAGACTAAGAGATACAAACTACCAGTTATAAAATAAATAACTTATGAGGAAGTATTAGACAGCTTAAGGAATATAGTAGTCAGTAATACTGTAATAATTTTGAAGGGTGACAGATGGTTACCAGACATATTATGGTGATCATTTCATAATATATTTGAATGTCAAATCACTGTTGCACACCTGAAATTGACATAATGTTGTACATTAACTATACTTCAGTTTTTAAAAATTACCTATTTAATTTGGCATACATGATTTTGTGTATATAACTGTGTACAATAACATGTATTTATTACAATACATAATACCTATATATAATAGTCATAGGTAATAAAGAATACACTCACTTAGGATAATTAGAATTATCAGTACTACTTCATTTTTCTCTCCCCCTACCTCCTCCTGAGCCTGTATATTTTAATTTATATAAATTGAATGCACTTATGAAGCAGTTTTTACTGTCAGCATGGTTGAGAGAGGCTTCCTGACTCAAGTTGTTTTGTTATTGGATCTCTGATTTAGGAGATAAACAATGTAGAAATTTTTTTTTAAATTATACCTTCCTTCAGGCCATGGGTTGTTCTTCTGCAAACAGCAAACTATCTCTCAGACATAGATTTTGATTCTCAGTTTCATTTGATAGGTCTGGTTTAATTTTTGTCCCAGATTTTGATGAAAGTTTTACTATTAGGCTTGAATTTTTTGTTTTAAGTTTTCATATCTGTGTGTGTGTGTCATGCACACACACGTACACGCACCTTTCCCTTGATTATTATATGGAGAGAAATTAGGAGATTTTGCTTCTGAGGCTGCCAGATAAATACAATATCACTAGATGTTTCTAAACTATTATTTAATAAATATTTATTTGAAGAATTGTGTTCCTTAAATTTGTGTAAGGATTAACTTCCACATCTAGACTTTCTTACTAGAATTGTTTGTAGGGATGAGTGTGATTATACAGATCACATAATCCACAGGGAGGGGCTTTCATTTTACTCCTCTGTCACTCTCTCATGCCAAATGCATTTGTCTCTCTGGTGCTGAATGCTCAATGTGATTAGCTAATTTTACTTCCCTATTTAGCAAGAGGAGAACATTTTCATCTCTGCCTCCATTAGAACATGATCCTCACATACTGATTTAATGAATCTCTCTGTAGGAAGTGGATAGATGGGCCTTTGTCCCCACTGGGGGCAAAATATTGGGTCGTGCAGCTCTGCTGGAAATGGTTTTCTTCTCAGTCTTTCAGTGACAAGATTATGATCATAGCCCAGGATGGACAAAAGAAAATTCCAGTTGATAAATACTATCTCTGGTTAACTAATAACTGTGTTAGAAGAGATGATTGAGATATGGTCCTTATCCTAAAGGAGCTTCCAGTCTAGTGTGGGAGATAAGCACTTAACCAAATAACTAACTTACGGTATGAAGGGTGCTGTAATAAAGGGATGAACAAAATGAAACCCAGACACAGACATGAGACGATTAATTCTGCTTGGGCAACAGTCAGAGGGGCAGTCAAACAAAAACCCAGTTCACCATTGCAGGAAATCAAAAGGGCAAAAATACTGCGAGAAAAAAAGCTCAGCAGCAGAAACACTAGTAAGTGGAACGTAAGCTAACTTCTGGAAATCTGCATGCAAGAGTAGAGTTCTGAAGGATGAATATGAATATAGGCAAGTACATTCACAGGTGGAGAATTCAGCGTATCAAATTTGTGTGGATGTGAACATGCTCACTCTGACACAAGAAAAATAATTTGTCTACTATGACCTGTCTTGGGGTACATGTTTGGAGTGTTACAGGTGAAGTTTGAAATTTGTCCTATGGGTGATTCAGAGGTTATGGTGCAGAAGAATGATATGGTCACATTTATGTTTTAGAAAGAAAACTGGCAACAGAATAGGGAACTGAGGCCAAGAAAACAGTTGGGAATAATTTGTTCCTGCCAGCTAAATGTATAGCTTGCCTTCCATTGCTCACTGATTCTGGAAGAGGGTTAAGGCACAGGAGGATATAAAAAGGAAGGAAGGGAAGAAAGTTAAAAGAGGAGGAAAGAAAGAACTCTCTGGAGCAATTCATATTCATCAGTAGTAAGAGTGAGGAAATGAAGCTTCTGATCCTTCATCTTATATGGCATCCCAAGCCTAGAAACAGGAACTACCTACCTCCTGGTTTTTTGACACCTTTCTACTTTTGCTTCTTACATCTGACCTTGTCACTAAATTTTAATTTTAAAAAAACCTTTTTCTTAATCACTCTTCCTATCATTACCAACACTGGCTTCCAGTTTAAACCCTTAGCACCTTATCGAAATCCTAGAAGGCTTATTTTCCCTCTCCCTTTTGAATACTACCCATAGATGATCCTCCAAAAGCTCTGGTTTTATCATTACAAGTCCTGCTCAAAAGCTTAATTTAGAAGGACAAAAGTCAAGTTATCAAAATAAATTTTAAGACTCCCTCTTCCTTACCATTATGATTACTCTCATTTACTGCCTTTGGTAATAGTTCTCCCATAAATTCCTTTGGAATCCTCACTCCTTATTCTACACATATCAGAATGCTTTTAACCCTTCAAAGAGTTCAAAGTTCAGCTCAAACTCTATTTCTTGTTATACACTTTTTGGTAGATAAAGGAAGGCCACACTTCTTTCCTTTTGTACAAGGGCATGAAATTTTACTGCGAAAGCCCTCCTCATGTTATTGACTTGAATGTTTGGCAAGTTCTCAAAAATAGTTCAATAGTCTAATAGCTCCAAAATGGGACCATATTTAGTCAATTTGGACTGTGTCTATTGTACACTACCTTGTGTAAAGCATTGTGCTAACCATCCTCAGGATGTCAGTGTTAAAGGATAAATATGTCAAATGTCTACTCTCAGAACAATTAACAGATTCATTCATTAGAGGACTATTTCCACATCATCTATATGATTAATAGTTTGTGATTTTTCAAATAAGATACTTTTCTTTCATTGAGTTGGTGAGTTCTATAAGTAGATGAAATTGTGGTGGAAGTTACATAAATGTGTTTAAATGGCACACATTTCACCCTTCACAGCAAGAATCCAGTCTCAGTAGATACAGAAATGCAATCAAACCTTCAATATTAGACTATGTATTTAATTTTTATAAGTATATTGTTAATTATTCCATATGTATTAGTGTATTTAGGCTGCTGTAACACAGACTGGGTAGATTGTAAGCAACAGAATTTCATTTCTCACAATTCTGGAGGCTAGAAGTTCAAAATCAGGGTCCCAGCATGGTGGCAGACTGCCAGCTTCTCACTGTGTCCTCATATTGTGGAAGGGGTAAGGGAATTCTTTTGAGCCTCTTGGACATTAATCTCATTCATGAGGGTTCTGCCCTCATGACCTAATTACTTCCCAAAGGCCCCATCACCTCATACCATCACATTGGGGATTAGGATTTCAACATACGAATTTTGGGGAACATAAACATTCAAATATAGCACCACATATATTAAATGTGCCTTCCTCAGGGGCCAAAAGTTTGGGAAACTATGATGCATCCTTTTTCCACACCATCCTTAACACAAGCACCTGCACTGTTTTAAGACTTTTCTACTAGTAGTTTTAAAGGAAAGCAAAAGTAATTTCTTTAAATTATTTCACCTGACAGGAAAATTGAACAAATGAGTTAAGAAGAGGGATAGTCAGAAATGGGATGCCTAAAGGAGACTGTCTGTAGGAAGTAGACAAGCCTGATAAAAATTTAAGACTAAATGTATAGTTGTGTCACCCCTGACATTTACACCAAGGATCATCTGCCCTCTGGTACTCTGAGCAAAAATTATAAGGAAATCAGTTGTAAGGAATCAATTCCATTAGACAGGAAACATAGCTTTCAAAATTATGGGAATTTTATCCCAGAGGCAGTTGAATATCATAGGGAAAAATAAAAGATGAAGCCTCATAAGAAAGCAAAAGTACCCTATATTATAATCTTTGGCCATTACTTTCTAATTCTTCTTTTTCATATCTTTAAATACAGAATCCCCTTCACCTCCAACTGAGTTTAGAAAATTCATTAAGTTCTGATGCTGATGTCACTGTCTCAATCCTGACCATGAACAACTGGTACAATTTTAGCTTGTTGCTGTGCCAGGAAGACTGGAACATCACTGACTTCCTCGTCCTTACCCAGAATAATTCCAAGTTCCACCTGGGCTCTATCATCAACATCACCATCAACCTCTCCTCCACTGAGGACCTCTTGAGCTTCCTGCAGGTCCAGCTTGAGAGCGTTAAGAACAGTACGCCCACAATGGTGATGTTTGGCTGCGACATGGAAAGTATCCGGCGGATTTTCGAAATTACCACCCAGTTTGGGGTAGCAGCCCCTGAGCTTCATTGGGTGCTGGGGGATTCCCAGAATGTTGAGCAACTGAGGACAGAAGGTCTGCCCTTAGGGCTCATTGCTCATGGAAAAACAACACAGTCTGTCTTTGAGTACTATGTACAAGATGCCATGGAACTGGTTGCAAGAGCTGTAGCCACAGCCACCATGATCCAGCCAGAACTTGCTCTCATTCCCAGCACGATGAACTGCATGGATGTGGAAACTGCAAATCTCACTTCAGGACAATATTTATCAAGGTAGGATGCAAGACCTGGTTTACATCCCCAGTCATAGGACTGTGATAGGAAATAAAATCTCCCTATCTATCCCATTTGCAGAAAGCACATGGCATATAGTGGGGAATCCTCAGTCCCACTTTTAAATCCTGGCTTAGTCCCATACTAGCTATGTGTTCTTGGCAAGCTATTTAAAAACTCTGAGCCTCAGTTTTCTCACTAGTAAACTAAGATAATATTAAATAGCTTGATATATTATAATAAAGACACCACAAAATTCTATATGAAAAGTACCTAACACTGCTCAGCTCATAGTAGATGCACAACAAATGTTTCCATCCCTGCTCACTCTTTCCTATATCAACAGACTTGGACAAATCTCTCTAAATCTATACAGAGAAAAAAATTAGTCACGCTGGAGATAGGCTTTTCTCTCTACTCCCAGGCTATGATGAATAAGGCAGAATAGAGAAGTGACTAAAGACATAGACCCTGGAGCCAGACTCCCTATGCTTGAATTTTAGCTTTGCATGACTTGGTCAAGTGATTTAACTTCTCTGAGCCTTAGTTTCCTATGTCCTATACCCATTTATGTAAAAAGATATAACAGTAGATCCTACTATCCATGGAGGAGTTGTGATAGGTAGATGGTAGATGATAGGTAAGTAGATAGATAGATAGAACTAAGAGTTCCACAAGAGTAAAATGTATATATATATTTTTTATGTTATATATATATATATATATATATACTTTTTAAAATTAGCTACCTTTCTTTTCCAGTTCCTCAATCTGGTTCAGAATCTAGAATGAAAAAGCCTGTTTAAGTTAAAGAATAATTCATCCTATAGACATGGTTTTCATGATCCCTGGAAAAAGGAGAAATCCTTAAAGGATATTTTACAGGGGTCTAGATTTTTTTCCTGAAAAGGACCACCTATGGTCAGAGAGGCCAAATCAGAGAATTATTGCTGTTTCAGAGATGAAGGCTTAGCTATAGTCTGGCCCCATTTTAGGAAGTCCTCTTGGAACAGGGACATCTGACTGTGTTGAGGAGCACAAGGTAACCTCATGGTGTCTTGCCTTTTAAAAGACATGAACGTTTGAGGAAAGATCAGAAGGTGCCAAGCATTTTACATTTAATTTCACATGTATGCATTGAGCACCTACTATGCACAAGGCAACATGCTAAATGCCATATATATGGCAGAGTTTAAGCACAGCCTACACACTCCTTAAAGAATGTTAATAAAATAAAATATCTCAAAAACTCACTTATTAGGAATCTATAAATGATAAAATTAGATGTCCTATCATCAACTGAACTTTCCATTTTTTCCATAATGTATTTGAATTTCCTCAAGATTAAAGTCTATGAAAAAAAATAAGGTCTATGCATGTTTTATTTTATAGCCACTATCCAGAACTAATCTGGTTTTTTTTTTTGGCTGCATTGGGTCTTCGTTGCTGTGCACGGGCTTTCTCTAGTTGTGGCGAGCGGGGGCTGCTCTTTGTTGTGGTGTGCGGGCTTCTCATTGTGATGGCTTCTCTTGTTGCGGAGCACGAGTTCTAGGGTGCGCCGGCTTCATAGTTGTGGCACGCGGGCTCAGTAGTTTTGGCGCACGGGCTCAGTTGCTCCGCGGCATGTGGGATCTTCCCAGACCAGGGCTCGAACCCGTGTCCCCTGCACTGGCAGGCAGATTCTTAACCACTGCGCCACCAGGGAAGTCCTAATCTACTGTTTTTCAACATAGCACTTCACTGAGGCTCAGGACTTTATCTGGGATAAGAAACATCCTCCTTCATAACAAAAATATAAGCAAAGCCTTTAGTTATAATTTCAAATAGTCATTATTTTGGAAGGACAATCTTAAACAATAGACAGGAAAAACCACTTGTGAAAACTATATTAAAATTTTTAATGTCTTTCTGTCTCATATAAAATGGAGAGCACAAGAAAAATAATTCTGTTTGGATCCTAAAAATGTTTAGAAGCTACAGAAATATTTGTTGACTTGGGTTGTATATACTTTAGGGGTTCATTTTATCAAGATCAAACTGATCTTTCTGGCTCCTCAAAATTTAATTTATGTTAAAGTTATGTGCCTCCTTCTATAAAGATCCCATGGCACTTTGTACATGAAATTATATGATGGTACTTAGTCTATTCCATCATCATTATTTGTCTCTGTGTCTGACTTCTGAACTAAAATATAAATTCTATTCAGTGGAGATACTATTGAACTTAGTTTAATGCCTGGCATATAGCAGCTACTTAATAGACATTTATTGAAATTAACATAGAAAGAAAAGGAAATTTTATATTATATTTACATCCTACACCATCTGTTGCTCTAGAAGAATAATGGGTGGTTAACAGATAAATAAAATTTTGTCTAAATTAAAAACAGTTTTTTTAACTTACCTAGATACCATCTGGTTTTCTTTTCTTTTCTTTTTTTTTTTTTTTTTTGATAGAATGTTAGGTTAGCAGATAACCTCTGCCCTTGTGGCTATTTCCACATGATTATTCCACAAACTTGGAAAATTGTGAAAGATGAGTGTGAGGTTTGGAGCCTGGAAGCAATTCACAGTGTATACAGGTCAGCAACAATATTTTCATCTCTGTGGATGTGTTTGAGAATGAACTTAAAGAACTTCAGGAAATACGCCTAGGACTTCTTAAACTCCCTGAGGAATATAGTCAAGAGAAAGTTTCAAAGTGTTCAGGAAAGGGTCAAGGGAAGTGAGGAAAAGCCTTCAAGGAGTCTTTATAATGAATAACTGAAAAGCTGCCTTAAGCTATAAACATCTGTGGATTTTTCATCATCCTTATTTATTTTGTTGAATACAGTCTTTTTAGAAAGTTCGTTATTCTCAGTCCATAAGTCACATCTCCATATAGTAATTTTCTTAATTATTCCTAAATTTTGTGAGGCTGACCCTACTTCCTCACTGCATAATGAAAGTCCTGAGGATAATGAGCCATGAATATCGAGTGTCAGAGTTATGCAAGCTTTCATTTCTCACACAGTCACTTTCAGTTTAGGCTGACAGAATTGTTAACATTTATAAATGTTAATGAAATCACCAAAAACGTGGCTTTTTCAGCATAGGCCTTTAGACTAGAAAAAAATCATTTCTCATGGCAGACTACATAGACATAATAACAGGTAAAAAGTATTTAATTCCTCCTGGGTCCCCACATGCCAGAGCAAACATCCATCATAACTAAATGTAGACAAAACCACGTGGGGGCCAAGTTCATACTGTGATCTTTAACAATTTATTTGCAAGTTGTTTTATTAAATGTTAATTACTTTGAAGCAATGATATCTGATATATTATTTGGCAATAACTTCACAAATACATGTGCAAAGGTGTTTCTGTGCAGTCAGTGACTATTTGTTGAACTAGGGTGAGGCAGACAAAATGAAGAGTTGCATCCTGCCATTTTGGAGCTGACAGCCTAGTGCATGAGTTGAAAAGTAAGTAAATGGTTATAAAACAAAGGGATACGTTATTCTTAAAAATAGAAATATGTTCAAATACACAGAGGAGGAAATAATTAACTCTTCTCAGAGAGTTGATGATGAGGAAGAAATACTGGAATTGGATCTTGATAAATGAATAGGAGTTTTCTGGTTTGGAGCAAACATTTCCCCACAGGCACAGGAAATGGCATATGCAAATTTACCAAGACCTGAAAGAAATTTAGTACAGTTGGCGTGTACATTGCATATGAAGAGAATCTGACATGATTCTGGAAAAGTTGTTAATTTGATAGCATGCCACACAGAGCTTTTATGCCAAGCTAAGGAGTATGCATTTTATATGCATTCTGGATGTCACTTGAATGGCAGAACATTAGGCATGACATAGTTATAAAATCATAATCCTGTAACAAATTAACCAAATAAAGTAATACAGCATAAAATCCTTGCGACTAATTTTTTAAAAACCATTAAGATATAAAAACTTGTTTTATTTCTCCAAATCTGTTTTAGCTTTGCCCACATTTACTCCCTAACCTCATTCTAAACACCAGACTCTGTTGAAAATGAATAGGAGTTTGAGGACTTCCCTGCTGTTCTTAGGGTTAGGATTTGCCCATGCTTATCTGAAGGCCCTGGGTGGTAATGAATCTGTGTTTCTGGAGAAAGAGCCCCTTGAGTTATTCATAGCCTAGTCAAAGGCAGTTATCCTTCCTTTAGTAATTCCAAGACCCTAGACATCAATAGACACCTTGTTCCCCTTGGCCTAATAAGTCTCTGACCCTTTAGCTAATTAATCATAGTCCTGATAGTTATTCTAGCTTCTCAGCAGGCTATGGAATCTATGGAATCTTGCCTTTCTTCTTGGAATAGCTTCTGCAATTCAGTTCTGTATCAAGTGGGCAGTGATTAATTCATTTATTCATCCACAAACATATGTTGAAGCTTACTTGTATTAGGCTAGGACCTTGGCTAATGCTGGAGACACAAAGAATAGAAAACAGGGGCCCTGCTCCCAGGAAGCTTACAACCCCCTTCTTTTGTTCTTTCAGCGAGAGACAATATGCTCCTCCACTTATCCATATTTTTTATCCATTTTTTTTTGACCTAGCAGTTTGGTTATCATTCCTCACTGAGACAACACCCATTCTACTAGTGATTATCCTTTGGCATTAGCTGGCATTGTTAGGCTCGCTCCTCAGTTGTCCTTGAAAAATGGTTCAATGTGCTAGAGAGACTCTTTCCCCTCCAGGCTATGTTCATCTTTATGCTTACATGGTCAAGCAATACCAAGATTCACTGGCCTTTCATTAATAGTAAATGTTGCTTTATTTATTGATTCTGCATGTATTATCCAGAACATATATGTGCCATGTATTATGAGGCACTAGGAAGCTTCAGAAAAAAAAAGACTAAACAAATACCCATTCAAAAGTCCCAAGGTATAAACTGATGATGTTCCCGGTCTCATTGCTGGATACTAGAAGAGTTCCAGGAGAACTTGAGGTGGCATGATATAATTCTAAC